TAATTAAGAGCATCAACCATTAAAGTTGGAGAGCTATTGCTATATTATTAAATCCTCTCTTTAATAAGCTTTAATTGCAACCTAAATTCTAGGGTGTTCTGTAGGGTTTGAGAGTGCCACGTACTCTCATCTACAGTAGGTAGTAGTGGAGTACACAGGCGCACTTCAAGCTTTGATATTACAGCCTCTAGATTAAAGGGGACTAAGCCAGCACCTCTAAATCCTCCCTAGATATTGCTCCTAGTAATAGAGGCATCAAAAGCTCCTTTAAAGCACGGTAAAAACTCAAGTTTTGTGATGCGAGTAATCTTGTTGCGCATTAGCAGCTCAGCTTGGCGACCATAGGCCTTCTTCATTAGGGCAAAACAACCCACGTCAAGCGGCTGCAACAGGTGCGATGAGTGTGGAGGCATACACAAGGTAACAATCTTGTGTTCTTCACAGTACTGGTAGAACTCAACTGAATTGTGGCTCTCATGGCCGTCCAGAATGAGCAGCTGATGGCTGCCAACAGTGCGCTCCTTTGTGTGCTCATTAAAGTGCTTCAGCCACTTAATACTAAGCTTATTATTAGTCCAGCCGTTCTTAGAGACAGTAATAACCTAGTTATAAGGTAAAGACAGCTCCTTGTACCAGGCAGAGAGGTGGTGCTTGCCTTAGAAGATAACAAAGGATAGGATACTCTATCCTGACGCGTTGATACCCTAGATAATGCTAGTCCACTCTCAGTCGCCCTGCTGTACTGTCTTTGGTCTTCCACGACGCTCTGAGCCTATAACAACAGCTCCTGTTGATATAACACCCATCATGAACCTAGACTCGTCAAAATTGTAGGTGTCTTCATCTAGGATACCATACTTGGCTTTGGTATTCTCCACTAGGCGGAACCAGCCCTAGATCACCTCAGGATCCTCGCAGAGGGCTCTCTTGTAGTCGTACTTTTGATTGAACTTGACTGTGAGCTCTGGGCGACGCTTGACGAACGTGCTAGCCCAGTTCTTGCCAACAGGAGGCTGGTGGCGCTCAGTGAGTAGAGAGTTGGCCATATCCTCCACATTAGTAAGCTGGGGTGGGTATCCTCGCTCGTCCAGCTTCAGAACATGCTGCACAATCACCTCCTCTTCAGTGCTTGTCAGCTTCATTAAGTTGACCTTACAATTGCGTCTTAAGAGCGTTCCAGCACGTCGTCATCTTAGCGTTCTTTCTAACACCTTGTAGATTGTTGCAGCGCGTAGAATAGTAAGAGTCGCGTCTTGTTTAAGAGCCTAGATTGCAAGCTGTATATCTGGTTCCTTTGAGACGCTTTAAGCCTTTTTGCGTTGAGACATCGCGGGTTGTATGAAGTTTGGTGTGGTCTTGGCAAAATCCGGACACTCGCCCGGGCCGGCCACTCGCCCGTGAGGTACGTTAGGGTATGTAGCTGTACTTTAAGGCAATCTAACACTACTTATATATTAGTAGGAACAAGCCCTAATACCTTAAAGGCCTTTTAGTAGTTAACCTTTATAAATATATTAAGGAATATGTCCCTAAAGGCTAGTAGGAAGCCTTCCTTATTAATATAGAAGAAATATTAGCATACTAAGTCTTAAATATATTAGGAGTACTTATACTTTAATAGTAAGAAATAGACTATATTAAGTAGCTAGAGAATGTGTAACAAGTAAGGTAGTATATAAAGAGTAAGGATTTAGTTCTCTAGGTAATAGTCCTTAATCTCTTAGTTAAGATAGCTCTTATAGCTATCTAAGATAAGTAACCTATATACTCCTACCTAACATGTCTTTGTATATATATTAAAGTACTTTAACTACTTAAGGATTAGTATATTATTTATCTAACTATTCTTAGAGACTAAGAGCTTCTAATTATAGGGTATATCTGTCTCCTTATACTAGGCAGAGATGTAGATAGGTTCTTTGTAGATAATAAAAGGTAGGGTTGCATACCTAGCAGCGCAGATGCTCTAGATAACAGTAACCTACTCGCAATCGCCTAGCTAAACAAGCTCTAGCTAAGCACGTCTCTCTAAGCCTGTTACAACCTTTAAAGACAAAGCAACACCTATCTAGAACCTAGTTTTATTAAAGTTGTAACGTAGATTATCACCGAGCCGGCCATATCACCGAACTGGCCACTTTCTCTTAGCACGACCACCTTTTACCCCAACATAATATGCCTCAACAACAACAACTTCAGAATACTACTAGAGAAGGCAGAGTTATCCTTGCTATCTAGGCCTTCTATGCTGGCTAATTTCGCAGTATCTGCAGCGCTGCTAGAGCGTTAAACGTACCTCATCAGCAGGTCTCTAATTGCCTTTACAATATCACGTTTTAACTAGACGTACGCGCTAATTGCTAGAAACTTACTATACTAGAGGAGCAGACAATTGTCTAGTATATACTTAACCTTGATTCGCAAGGATTTGCGCCCCAGCTATGTGAGGTGGCAGATATGGCTAATAAGATACTTAGTGTGCGTGGTGAAGAGCCTGTTGGTAAACTATGGGCTAGCAGGCTTGTGACGCGTTTAGACAAGCTTAAAATAGCCTTTAATTAAGCTAAGGATAGACAGAGGATACTACAGGAAGATCCTGAGATAATCAGCGCGTGGTTTAAGCTAGTAGAGGATACTTAAGTTAAGTATAGCGTTTGCAACAACAACGTGCACAACTTTAATAAAACTAGGTTCTAGATAGGCGTTGCTTTGTCTTTAAAGGTTGTAACAGGCTCAGAGAGACGTGCTCGGCCAGAGCTTGTTCAGCCAGGTGATCGCGAGTGGGTTACCGTTATCCAGAGCATCTGCGCCGCTGGGTATGCAACCCCGCCTTTCATCATCTACAAAGGACGCGTCCACATCTCTGCCTAGTATAAGGAGACAGATATACCCCACAATTAGAAGCTCTTAGTCTCTAAGAACAGTTAGACAAACAATATGCTTAGCCTTAAGTAGTTAAAGCACTTTAACACGCATACAAAGACACATTAGGTAGGAGTGTACAGGTTGCTTATCTTAGACAGCTATAAGAGCTATCTTAACTAGGAGTTTAAGGACTATTACCTAGAGAACTAAATCCTTACTCTCTACATGCTACCTTACTTATTACACATCCTCTAGCTACTTAATATAGTCTGTTTCTTGCTGTTAAAGCGTAAGTACTCCTAATATGTTTAAGACTTAGCATGCTAACGCGTCTTCTATATTAATAAGGAAGGCTTCCTACTAGCCTTTAGGGACGTGTTCCTTAATATGTTTACAAAGGTTAACTGCTAAAAGGCCTTTAAGGTATTAGGGCTTGTTCCTACTAACACGCAGGTACTAGTAGTGTTAGATCACCTTAAAGTGCGGCTGCATACCCCACCAGCAGTACCTCTACCCAAAACGCCGTGGCAATCCAAGACGCTGAGCAATACACACGAGTTTAGGTCTCAATCTAAGCTTGTAAGCAACTCCTTCTAACAATTGCTAAGTGCAGCGCAAGAGGGGTTCTTAAAGCTTGTAAAAGGGGCTAAAGAGATGCTGCACAAAAACGTCCTTATTAAGGCCCGCATGCGAGAGCTTGAAGAGCAATTAGCAGTAATAACTAAGAGAAAATCGCGTAAGAGAAAGCAGATTCAGCATGGTGGCACACTTGAGTATGGCCCAGCAGCATCGCGGGTAGCTGCTGAGGCGTGTGTAGCAGCTTAGCCATCTAAGAAGACTCAGGGTGGAGGTGGTCAACTAGGAGCTCAGTCAACTGTTCGGCGCTGTGGGAACTGCAGCAAAACTGGACATAACGCACAAACGTGCTAGGAGGGTGCAGAAACATCTTCTGAATCTAATGCAAGCACGCAGTATGCTAGGTCACTGTTTAATAGTGAGTAGTTGTAGTTGCAGTAACTTGTCTTAGTCGTGCCAAGAGAAAGTGGCCGGTTCGGTGATATGGCCGGCTCGGTGATAATCTACGTTACATGTTATTATTGCAAATACTATAGTTAACTTAAGTATCCTCTACTAGCTTAAACTACACACTAATTATCTTAGGATCTTCCTTTAGTATCCTCTGTCTATCCTTAGCTTAATTAAAGGCTATTTTAAGCTTGTCTAAACATGTTATAAGCCTGCTAGCCTATAGTTTACTAATAGGCTCTTTACCACGCACACTAAGTATCTTATTAGCTATATCTACCACCTTACATAGCCAGGGCGCAAATTCTCACAAATGAAGATTAAGTATATAATAGACAATTGTCTACTCCTCTAGTATAGTAAGTTTCTAGCAATTAGCGCATAACTTATGTCTAGTTGAAACGTGATATTGCAAAGGCGATTAGAGACCTACTAATACAGTATGTTCAACGCTCTAGCAACGCTGTAGATACTATAAAATTAGCTAGCGTAGAAGGCCTAGATAGTAAGAATAACTCTGCCTTCTCTAGTAGTATTCTAAAGTTGTTGTTGTTAAGGCATGTTGTGTTAGGGTAAAAGGTGGTTGTGCAAAGAGAAAGTGGCTGGTTCAGTGATATGGCTGGCTCAGTGATAATCTAACTTAGTACTTCTATTTCTTAGCTAGATAAAGAGTTATTTAGCTTTAAAGATACTAGATTTCGCTACTTTTACTAGTAAAAAGCGGGCGTTGCGTGACTCCGGGCGTTGCGCGCACAGACACGGTAGCAGCAGCGCGTTGCAGGGATAGAGTCGCGTCTTGTTTAAGAGCCTGGAGCGCAAGCTGTATCTAAGCTTCCTTTAACATGTCTAATTAGTGTTGTTGAAGAGACATTAGTGTAGGAAGGGGGGTTTGGTAGGGGCTTGGCAAAAGTGTCCAACTTGCCCGTGAGGTACGTTAACAATTAGCAGGTACATTGGCTGCCCAATGATACCTGACAGACCGCCTCAATCCTACTACTTCGACCTGACTTGCATCAGCTCCGTATGTGCCTTAATAGTACTTTCATCTGAAGAAGACATCCATCATCAACAGAATGCATTCATAGTTTTCAGCACCAGTGCTACAAACCTTCCAATACATTAATTAATAGACAGCTACGAAATATAATCCCTTGCCCTTGCCCTTGACCTTGCTCTTGCCCACGCCCTAATTGTTTCCTTTAGCGTGCTTCACCGCCTCTAAACACCCAATAGCTGCTGTGAGGAACGAAGCGATTGGAATCGAAGCGCATTCAATGAATGCTGTAATAACAGGTCCGGTTGAGAGCCCAGCTGTCTCTGGAGCAGTGAACACTTCTGCTGCAAGAGCAGCTGTTGCGCATGCAGCGATACTACCAATCGCTGCGGTTCCAGCTCCGCTGATGCACACAATGCAGATAGCTGACTTTAAGCATACTGTTGCATCGCTGTCCTGCTTTTCATCCGTAGTAACCTCGTTGTCATAAAGGGTTTTCTTGGTCGCAATCTGAATTTTGGCTTCAGCTGGAGTTGCGGCTCGTTTCTCCAGTCCAGTGTCAACGTCTAGTACACTGTGGAGGAGAGAGAACATGCGATGGGTAGTCTTGTCGTCCCATGCTGCAAGGACATCGTGGGGCTGGTCTAGAAAAGTGGCCCACTGGGTAGCGTTGACAGCTGAAAAATCATCTGTGTTGTCCCACGATAGGAGTTCCACAACAGCCTCTGCGCTGACACCATTCAGACTTGGAACAGTTGATAGAGAGACTGAAGTGGCAGCGACGAGCTGAGCGCCAAAGACGAAAGAGACAGCGAATGTTGAGTAACGCATTGTAATGATGCTGCAATGTCAGACAAAACTGATGAGTGGAGAGCTTGATTATAAAGGACTGTAGAGGGGTCGGATGTTCCGTTAAATGATCAAGACTTTATGTCCTTTAATGTACCGGTAATCTGTACGCATTGTTAACTTGTGTTGAAACGTACCCTTTCTGGTACAAAGTAAAAGAGGCTATCTTGTCTAGCGGCTTACCTGTGCTTTTACACCCCTCTAAGCAAGGGTACTGTACAGGTCCGCGCAAGGATGTTAGACCGTACAAGAGATATGGCCGCGCAAGGGTATTAAACCGCGCAAGAAACAAGATCGTGCAAGAAACATGACAGCCAAAAACATAGGACCGGGAAAGGAATAGGACCGCGAAAGGAATAGGACTGCGAAAGGAATACGACCGCGAGAGAAATACGACTGTGAAAGAAATAGGACCGCGAAAGAGATAAAATGACGAAAGGAATACGACCGGACAAATACTCCGCTCAGGCATCCCCCTTGTACCTATTACCCGTGCACGGTCTCGTGGTCGGCCGGTTCTCGTGATGGGCCAACCCACCAACTTCGGCTGATATGCTGCACCCCCCCCCCCCCCCCCCCCCCCCCCCCCCCCCCCCCCCCCCCCCCCCCCCCCCTCCCGTTCCTCAATGCCACAATGTCTGTAAAGGAAGCCCCAACCAATATGACGCCGCGAGTCGGGCCCGATTCGCCAAAACTTCACCCGCTCAGGTACCGTGTCCGTGCACTCAATGCGCGGATTCAGACAATGCGCCGAACCATCAAAACACCTCATCCATCCCAACTCTACAACAACGCAACGCCATGGGATTAGAAGAAGCCCTTGCAGATTGTGATCCTTTTAAAGATGAAGATAAAATCCCATGGTCTAAAATAGCAGCAAAGCATGGTGTTGTGCGCTCAACGTTAACGCGCACGTGGAGGGGCAAGACGCGACCGCGAGAGGCAGAAAATACTGCACGCCAGAAGCTCAACCCAAAACAAGAAAAGGAGCTTGTAACGTATATAGAGGAGCTTACTGCTCGTCATATACCTCCTACAAGAGAGATGATACGGATTTTCGCGTCAGCAGTCACCCAGGAGCCAGTGAGCGAGAGCTGGGTTACCCGCTTCATCAACAAGCACTCTATCCATCTCATCTCTCAATATTCAACCAGGATAGACACTAATTGCTACAACGCTGATTCGTACACCAAGTATGAGTTATACTTTAACCTACTGCAGCAAAAGATTGCTGAATATAAGATTAAGAGCTGCCACACATACAATATGGACGAGAAGGGATTCATGATTGGAGTAACCACCAGGACCAAGCATGTGTTCAGCCAGCGGATGTGGGAGAAGGGAGGGGTCAAGGCATCACTCCAAGATAGCAATCGTGCGTGGATTACGTTGTTAGCTTGTGTGTGTGGTGATGGATCAGCACTACCTCTAGGTATCCTATACAAGTCTGCCAACAGCACTATCCAATCAAGCTGGGTTGAAGAGATAGAGTTAGGGGTACACTCTGCGTTTGTTTCTTCAACACCTACAGGCTGGACCAACAACAATACAGGCCTTGCCTGGCTTAAACAGGTGTTTAATCGCTTCACTAAGGCCAAAGCCTAGAGGAGTTGGAGACTCTTAATACTAGATGGCCATAGGTCACACGTAGGTCACACGTAACGATGGATTTTATCAACTACTGCAATCAGAACAAGATACTCCTGGCCATCTTACCTCCTCATTCAACCCACACGCTGCAGCTGCATGATGTGGTGATGTTCAAGCCTCTATCAACAGCGTACTCAAAGGAGCTTACAACACACCTTCACAATGGCTAAGGGCTATCAGTTATTAAGAAGAGTGACTTCTTCCACCTGTTCTGGAAGGCCTGGGTTAGTACGTTTACTCAGGAGTTAATACTCAGGTCCTTTGAGGTAACAGGTATAGCGCCTCTTCAACCTCTCCCTTCGCAAGGCTACCCTCGCCTGCGTATACCCGTCTCTTCTGTATGGGACTGAGTGCTGGTACAGAGGCCGTACTAAACTTCCACGTACACTCAAACCTGGAGGACCAGCAGAAGTCAGCACCTATGTTGGGTGGCACATAGCGGTTATAGACAAAACACTAGCTATAGCAGCAAGAGGGATCCTCCCAGTGTGGCAAACAACCCTTATTGCTACTCTCTTCTGAGACGCTGGACTACCCTCTGCTGCCACTGCGCTGGAAGAAGCTAAACTCCGCTTTGCAACACATCTACGCACGGTAGATGCAGAACATCTACTTGCTAGCCGCACAGCAGCTATAAGGATAAGCATAGGCAGGTTAGCTAGAAAGCTGCAGCGAATGCGGACCAAGGTCTAGTATCTAGGATCTCTTCTGCCTAAGATACCTAGGACAACACTATTAGCCCCTTACTACTTACCTAGCTATTGTATAGACCCTACTATAGGCTTAGATAAAAAGTCTGCAGTAAAGGCTTTCTAAGAATAGTAGGCTAACCTTCTACCTTTAGATATTACTATCTTCTTAGATAGCTCTAAATATTATACAAAGGAAGAAGAAAAGTAGGTTACCTATAGCTTTACTGTGTATTAGAATAGAAAGCAACTATAGACTAGACGTAGTTCACTCTACTCTACCTCGCACGTCTTTAACGCTAAGGCAACTAGAGCGTGGAAAGGCCTCTAGCACACTATCAGACAACTAGCGCTCTGCACGCGCCAAATCTGGCTATGCATAGACAGCACCTTAGTCATATGGTGCCTCAGGGGCGACGCACCCCCTACCTCACAGTGGGCCTTCCTGGAGTGCCACAGTGCCATAGAGACACACGACGTCTTAATCAAATAGGCCCCTAGGCACCTAGGCATTAAAGGAAACGAAGCAGCAGACAGACTTGCCAACCTAGAAGCCTAGCACTAGACTGGCGGATGGGTACCATGTACCTAGGGTAGGGTATAGGTAGGGTATAGGTCGCACGGAC